CACTGCCACACTTGAGAGCAGTGACAGCAGCTGTGACTAAGAAAATGTATAGAAAGCAAAAAGCTTTCTGGGACACTACCATGAATACCACCATGTGTACATTGAAAACATTTGTACTGTATATTCAGTGTAGGTTCCCCCTTTCTTCTTAAAACATTCACATTTTTCTAGTTCTGGGCCATGTGAATGATTATTTTGTGTTCAACTTCTGATTATTGTGTCAAATCTAGGGGTGTAACGGTATCCGTATTCGTCCCGTACCGTCACGGTTCGGCACATGCAGTCACACGACGAATACGCCTTTTTTTTACGAGTGGGAAAAAAGTCTGTCATTCAGGGCAGTATCCACTACACTATATATAATCCAGGGGGCGGTATTGTGCCTAAAAGCTGTTTGTCAGCCGCCCTTAAACAACAAATGAAGAACAAGAAGAAACACAACAACAACACTTTTAGATTTCAGAGAACACACAGAAGCTAGAACCGATCTGCTTCTTTTAAATCAGCTGTGTGGGAACATTTCGGGTTCCCTGTGGACTTCAATAACGATGAAGTGCGAGTGGTGGATTGGACGAGGACGGTGTGTCGGTGTTGTTCGACAGCGGTGCGGTATGCTAATGGTAACACACAGGGGCGGACTGGCCATCTGTAGAATCTGGAGAACCACAGAACGGCCGGCCGTCAAGGTCCGTTGACGGCCGGCCGGCCCTTTAAAAAAAAAAAATAGTTTAACGTCATCATTTAAATTGCACTGACGGCCGACAGAGGGCGCTAATGCAGTTGTGTGGTTCTTATCTGTCAAATAATCACACACGAAGAAGAAAAAAGACCGGCCACACGAAGCGAAGGGATTAGACGCCGCGGCAGACAGGGAGAATGAAAAAACATGGATACAAATCAAAGAAAACAAAAAGAAAAAGGTGGGGCCGAGAAGGCAAGAGAGAAAAAGGTGAAGTCACTCGCAGGTGAAGCATATAAATGTCGCAAATTGACAGACCTTTTTGGCAGCAGCGCTGCTACAAGCACTATCATCAGCAGCTTAGAACAAGTGCAAGATGATGAAGAGAATGATGTGGGCGCGAGTTCAGATATACAGCCAGCCTCCTGCGTTCATGATGAGGGACAGAGAGTTGAGCTGCTGGAAGAACCAGCTCAACTGGCACACGTGCAGGGCAAGAGCAAGAGGTGGGTGAGATTGATCCCTTGAACTCAGTGGCGTTTTCTCCTGGAGGCCAAGGGAAGCCAGGCTTCCCCTGTTTTTTTGGATTGTAGTTATAATTTTAATAAATAAATAAAAACACTTTGTTTAGTTTCGGTAATTATTCTGCCGGCCCGTCTCTCCCCCATTCTCATTGAGTATTTTACAAAGAGTGAAACAGCGCCCCTCTAGATGTTATGATGAAACAGTATTGCACTCTCTGTTGCGAGAGGAGGCTAGCCAAAATTGGCTTCCCTTGTTGAAAAGAAATTGAGGGATTGACCAATCAGATGAGGCTCACTCATGCCTCACAATCCAATCAAATCGCATCAACTTCAGTTCGTACTGTAACTCATCACCACCCTTAAAAAGTAGTAAGCAACTGAAGCAATTGCAATTATGGAGGGTGGAGAATTTCATCAAAAAATAATTGTACTAAACTTCTGCTACAGCAGCAACTAAAAATGAAATCTGATGACAGGCCAATGCCCAAACTGGAGCTGTGCACAGAGAGGAAAAAAGGAGCGAATCGGACGTAAAACTTTAAATAATAAACAGCGAATTTCTAACATTTGATATTTCATGTGGCCGGACTGGGTCAGTTTCCAGGGCTGAATTTTAGTCCCAGTCCGCCCCTGGTAACACACGCCAAACATGCTAAATCATATCAGAAGGCATCACCCAGATTTGCCAATCACCGGAGCCCGGCAAAAGACAACAGCAGTTCAGCAGCTGATCCCGCTGTTTTTAAGAAGCCAAGAGACATGAGAGCCGAGAGACCAAAATAAATAACGGAAGCTTTTGGCATATGTTTTTCAACGACTTTGCGCTCTTGAAACACTTTCTTATTATTTATGATGTAATATTTTCAAGACATTCTTTTTAGTTTTACAGCTTGATGAAACCTTTTTGTTTGACATCAGCCATTATAGATAATATGGCCATCTGAGTGTGGTTTGTTTTTAACTGTTTAATACAGTTCATTATTCAAAATGTCAGTTCCTTATTTTTAAACTGAAACTGTTCAAAAATAAATAACAAACCTGGAATTATGCATTTGGGACTTTCTTTTGCTTTTTCTTGTTGTACCGAACCGTGACCCCCAAACCGAGGTACGAACCGAACCGTGACTTCTGTGAACTGTTACACCCATAGGCGGCGCGTGAGGCTCAGGTTTGGGAAGGCTAAATAACTTTTTTTTTCATCTTACGCTGCCCGCCTCCGGCGTCTATAGAAGAGAGATCAACTCAGTGAAAGCACCGTCTGCTGACCGATCAGAGCTCAGTGTGCGGAGTTTAAATCTATCAAGTCATATTACAGGAAAAAGGAAATGCAGTTTAAACTGCCGTATGCAGAGAAGACGCCGACGTGTCGCACTTATCATTCATATCACACTGACATCACATCATCAATCAGATCATCGATCTCACATCGATATCACAATATTTCCTTATCTGAGTCAGCTTCTCGAGCCGTATCTGGCCGTGCAACACTTAGTTACATTGTCACATATACTGTATGCAGACGTATTATTTTAAGCAACACATTAAGTTGACGAAACACTCAACTCAAATGTAATAAAGTCAGATCCCCTCGTGTTTTAGATGGGGCAGTATCATACAACTGTTGTACGCTTTCAAACACTCGGTAGTTTATTTTTTAACGAGTTGTTCTGTATTCTCCTTGCAGGTGCAACTATGTGGCTTGTATCCTGGATTATATGTTTAAGTCATGGATGTTTAAAGTTCATATTTGTCTAATATTAGTTTACTTTTCATTAATGAAGTATGATGTTGCGCTGTCAGTACACTTGTCCCTGTTTGTGATTGGTCAAATGTAGCTAACCCCGCCCCTTTCACGTGAACGCGCTCTCAGCTAGAGAGAGAAACCCTGGCTTGATTTACCGAGTTGATAACCAGCGCCGTAGGACCGTTTAGCGAGATCGCGTTTGTTAGGGTTAGTTAAGATAACTCAAGCATATCCAGGGTCTGTTGAACTGGCTTCGTGGTACAGGGCACAGGTGGCTGCATAGCAGCGCTAATGTCAAAGACATTATATTTTTATTTTACCAGGATGCAGTTACACAAATATTTGGGAAGGCTTAGCCTTCATAGCCTACAGCACCCGCCGCCCCTGGTTACACCCCTAGTCAAATCTGTTGATTTGTAGTTAATAACTAAGAACAGAGTATGTGAAAGTGAAATAAATGTTTTGCCACCAGGAATTTTATTTGTTTTTGTGAAAAATATCCTATTTTGATCATGAAATAAAGACATTGATTTGCACAAATAATAAAAGGCTATTAATTTGACATTAAGTTGAACTTAAAGCCACTGACCAAACATTGAATCAATTCAACTTAGCATCAGCAGCAAACCTTGTGTATATTAATGTAAACCCTTCAATATGTTATATAGAAATAATCTTTTAAGTATATTTACCCATTTTGAACACAAGTGCATTGAGAATAGGCTTAACCAAGGCATCACATGAAAGCTTATGTTCTGCTCTTTCAATAGGTTGGCTCAGTGTGTCTTTACCATGAACTGTCACAGAGATATTCAATCAGAAAGAGAATGATGGCATCTGATCCAGCCAGAATTTGACTTTTTTCATATATGGGTTGCATTGTTTGGACCCTCACTGTAGCTTTCCAGTAGCTAGTTGACCGGGTTGTCCACCCAGGTTGTGATCCTTGAAGGTCCTAGATATCATTTCTGGTGGACAACCTTCTACAACATTCCATGTCTGTAAAATGACTTTGCCCCCTGGGTATATGTATTTATCTTTTGTTTGTCATTCATCACATTTGTGCCTTCTGTTATAAACATTCTTAACACAATATTAAACAGTAAACATATTTTTAAAGTGATTTCTGTCTTTATAATATTATATCATTTTGAACAGTAATATGAACAATTAACATATATTTTTATTATTTTTGAAAGCTGCTTATGCCTTAATAATATTATATATAATATTCAACAGTAATATTAACAATAAACATATTTATATTCATATATATAAACATCAATATTTGCTACATCTGTGCTCTCATCCAGCTGCAGAGCGAAATATTCACTAGCTCTCACTTGCTCCAAAAGCTGAGCAGATACTCAGTTTCACTCTCAGTAGCGGCAGCTCGATTCTGATTGGCTTGAAGGGCGGTCGTGTGATTTAAAAAAAAATATATATATATATTAATAAATAAAAAATATTAAAAGATTGGCATCAAAGGACACATAGATTGATAGATTGATTGCAGTTATTAATAACATCTAAACAAAAATAAATAAATTCCCCTTTCCCTCAAACTTTGCGTGACCCCCCCTGGCGCCCCCCCGGGGGGTTGGGGCCCCCACTTTGAAAAACACTGGTCTGGAGTATTCTAACTTATTCTATGTATTGTATTATGTAAATTATTTAGATACCTTATATATTTACTGTAGATATGTCTATATTTACTGTTAATGTTTTGTATTTATTGTTTTTCTTTCATTTTTCTTTCTTCTATATTTAACTCTTGTTTAATAACTTGTTTTATATTTTTATTTTTTGTTTAATGCCTTGTTTTTATTATTCAATTTTCAATGTATTTTATGAAATGTTCTATTTCATGTTTAATTTCTTGTCTATATTATAATTTCTATTCTATTTGTAATAATTCTACAAGGCTTTGTTGACATGCTGCTGTCACAAAAGAAAGTCCCAATTTGGAATCAATGAAGTCGATCTTATCGAATAGTTTCACGTTTGCAGTGAGATTAAAGGTATTCTCAGCTGTTGTTTTCTTTGGTTGCAGGAGCTGTTTAAGTCCTTTGCACGCTTTTTATCCCACCTCCTCACAGAGGGGAGTAGTAAAGGGAAAGACCAAGGTAAGCAGGGGATACATTATCTAAAAGTTGTGCTCTGCTGCATGCGATCGCCTCCTCTTAAACTCCTCTCTGTGTCTGCAGTTAAAGCCGAAGCCCAAACTCTCATCAAGAAGTTCTTCATCAAAGTGCAGCACTGTAAGAGCGAGGCGGACTGGACGCACCTGAGGAAGCTGCATGATGGGAAGAGGAAATGAAATGTTTTTGAAGGGTCAAGCCCTTCCTCTTTGTCAGTGCCTACGCTTCTCTCGTCCCAGCGAACTCAGTCAGATCCTGAATGCCTGCAGAAAGAAAGTTTAATGAACGGCTTTGTCGGGTTTATGCCGATAATGAAGCACTAACGTGACTGTAGAGCAGTGTTGTACTGTGTGCACACAGATATTCATTTTGTTTATTTTTCCGCCTGAAAAGTGTGACCACTGTACATGTCTTGTGTGCAAAGTATGTTATAATTAATGTTCTATAGGCAGCCATTGTCCTTTGTATGTTTAACCACGATGACACTTCTACGTTACTGCACTCAAGTCCATTATATCGCAACACATGTGTTATGTCTCTGCAAGTTCATACTTATCTGAAATGGATTCAAACCAAAGGGCTCTTACAAATGAAGCCAAAGAAACACCTTGTGGATATTGAAAATGCATACTTGGAAGTCATTTGGTACAAAATGTACAATAACACTGGATTTCTGGTTGTTTTTTTATTTGAAAAATAGCAGATTGATCTGTTTTGTAGGGCCTAATTATTGCACTTGCATTGTGAATGGACATGCGAGGAAACTGTCCCGCTGTGTGTTTATTTTCTTGATTCAAAGACAAACCAAAAGTTGTTTTAAATGTGGTTGTGTCTTAACAAAAGTGAGAGGATTTTTTTTTGTGGCATTTTCATTGTAATAATATTGTTTCTGATAAGGGAAATGTTCCTTGGTTATAGTGCCTGTCTGCATGTCAGGCTGTGAGAGGCCAGAGTTTCTGTCTCCACAGTCAGGAAGAGGACAGGAAGCAGTGATGGACAGAGGCCTGGCTGTGCAGTGAACAGTCAGTCTGTGCTCCTAGCCTCCTACCTGTTTATAATAAACTGTATGTTGAACAGGACTAACCTCAGAGTGACACCCCGACTGAGTCTTTATTTCCAACACAAATGTCTTCAATTGGACAATTAAACGTATTGGAGGGCTGGGGGGAGGAGGAGAGGTCCGTGCCGGGGACGCTGTTAAATAGACTATGACGTCAGCCCTTGTGGTGCTGCCTTCAGGTGCCTCTTGGTACTTAGGACTTTGCTTTTGGTGCGTTTAGACATTGAAAGAGAAGGATTGTTAATGGTGAAACGACTGAATAAATGACAAAGGATGGCCAGTGTTAAGCTAGGAACAAAACATGCTCCTAGATAACCATCTCAAAGTGTTTATAATGAAGTTATAATTAAATTAAAATAATTTTCTTGACCACAAAGTCAATTATTGAAATTGCCACAGAGACAGTCCCACCAGGTGAAACAAGCTTTTGAGAGACTAGGAATAATATTACTTTTATTTTAATTTTATACTGACTTTCTTTGTATTGTACTGATGTACAATTACCTTGATAGCATTAAATTGTATAGGATGTTATAATACTATTATATTAAATACATATGTTGGATATACAGTTGCAAGAAAAAGTATGTGAACCCTTTGGAATTACCTGGATTTCTGCATAAGTTGGTCATAAAATGTGTTCTGATCTTCATCTAATAGACAAACACAGTCTGCTTAAACTAATACCACACAAACAATGATATGTGTTCATGTTTTTATTGAACACACCATGTAAACATTCACAGTGCAGGGTGGAAAAAGTATGTGAACCCCTAGGCTAAAGACTTCTTCAAGAGCTAATTGGAGTCAGGAGTCAGCCAACCTGGAGTCCAATCAATGAGACGAGATTGGAGGTGTTGGTTAAAGCTGCCCTGCCCTATAAAAAATACACACCAGTTTTGAATTAGCTATTCTTAAGAAGCATTGCCAGATGTGAACCATGCCTCGCACAAAAGAGCTCTCAGAAGACCTACGATTAAGAATTGTTGACTTGCATAAAGCTGGAAAGGGTTACAAAAGTATCTCTAAAAGCCTTGATGTTCATCAGTCCACGGTAAGACAAATTGTCTATAAATGGAGAAAGTTCAGCACTGTTGCTACTCTCCCTAGGAGTGGCCGTCCTGCAAGAGCACAGCGCAGAATGCTCAATGAGGTGAAGAAGAATCCTAGAGTGTCAGCTAGAGACTTAGAGAAATCTCTGGCACATGCAAACATCTCTGTTGACGAATCTACGATACGTAAAACACTGAACAAGAATGGAGTTCATGGGAGGACACCACGGAGGAAGCCACTGCTGTCCAGAAAAAACATTGCTGCACGTTTGAAGTTTGCAAAAGAGCACCTGGATGTTCCACAGCACTACTGGCAAAATATTCTGTGGACAGATGAAACCAAAGTTGAAATATAAAGTCAATAAACCACACCCATAATTAGTCACTATGTAGTCACACCTTAGTCAAATATTTGTACGCAGAACAACTTCCAAAAAGGCAGCGATGGTGTTAATGTGCCCACATCCGAGGCAGCATTTCCGACAGCACTTGAACGCAGCAGCAGCTTCAGCCACTGAGCTGCCAACCTGCGTCTCACATCACAGTCGCACACACACTGAGGAGACACAGAAGAAACACTGTGAGGACACAATGTGTGTATCCACCAGCTGGTGCACACACACATTTGTACATCATGTATGAACAGCTACATCACGTGTTTTTTATTTAATATCTGCAGACGGTTCAAGGAGCAGGTGCGCTGCCGGGATTTTGAGTCTTCATTTGTCTTGAAGGCTTTCACTGCGCCGCTGTTGTTTGTTATCACTTCCGGGCGAGTCTGAATTAGCAGATCATCACATCGCCGGTGAAGAAGAGGAGGAAGAAGAAGAAGTTGATGAACATCGATGCTCCGTGCAGGCAGGATGGAGGAGTTTGTGACGGAGGAAGAGGAGCCGTGGTACGACCAGAGGGACCTGGAGCAAGGTGAGCATCTCTCCCATTACTCCCCCTTTATTAGGCTCCGGTGGGGGGATGTCACAATGCACAGTCACCGGCTGTCTTTTAGGATCTTTTTTTTATTTTTTACTTTTCATTTTCCAATTTTACTAGCGACGATCCCTTTTAAGTTGGTCTTTTCATTTGGATTACTATTATTTATTTCGTTTTATTTTTATTATACACATTATACATTTGCCATATCTTCACTGTAGCTCTACTGTGCTATGACAATAAAGCCATTGAATCTGTATGAGTCCCACAGAGGGGACATTTACATTGTTACAGAAAAAGTAAAGGGGCAAAATAGGAATAAATAGGCATGCATAAAATATTACAGATATAAATTACACATACTACTTTCAAAAAGTACCTATCCAGGTAGAACATAATAAGTACAGTAACAGTATTTTAAAAGTAGTAGAAGTAGTGATAGCAGCCAAATAACAGTAGTGAACAATCAAGTTTATAGTGCACAGTTATTACAGATTGTAGTAACTAAGAGATGTAAAAATGATAAAGTGTGGGGGGGGTTGCATCTACTGTGAAATACATGTCATGCACCAATGCACGCACTGTGAAAACTGTAAAGCAGAGTGTCTGTCTGTCTCTGCGTCTCTCTGCTCTCCACCTCTGCCAATTACTATGATCTTGTCAGCGATGTTTCCCAGAATAGTCCTGCTGTCTGGCTGAGTGATGCTGTCTCTGTTTCATCTCCATTCTTGCAGGGTCCCATCTCAAATCCCACTCCTGTCCTCCTAGTTCTAAGACAAAGAGGGATGTCATGATCTGGCATTATTTATGGGAAAATACAGAAAAAACTTACCAATGATTTGTTTGTGACACTCACCTATTTCAATGTCTACCCAGTGAAAGCATTATTTAAAGGACATAATAATACAACAATTACTTATGTGTTCACCTGTTTCACTATGTTCTGATGGTGTGTAACATGCTAGTAATTCCACATTTGTAGCAATGTAACACCTGGTCTATTTTCTGTAACTATATTATCTTGGAGCTTTGTCACAGTCCTGCTGCAGTCATGCTGCGACCTTAAATGCCACCGAAAGATAATGCAATCCATCAGGAGTGTTTGCCTGATGCAGTGCTATCATCCCTCTCAGTAATGACTTAACCGGATGCACTTTCATCAGCAGTGCATCTCCCCAGTGTGTGTGTCCTGCTGCATCGACCCCTCCCCTGATTACCTGCTGACCCAGAGAACTAAAGCAGCTTTATGTCTCATCATCGTAGTTCGAGAGAGAAGAGACACAGTTGGGTTTTGCCGCTGTGTGTGTCTCATCTCAGCCCCGCAGCTCGAAGCCGTTAAGCCCCCCCCCCCGGCTGATCTGATTAGGGAGCCCCAGACTAGACCTCCTTAGATCAGAGATTTCAGCTTCAGGGTCAAATTGGAGGCTTCGGCCTAACGTCATCCTGCATGAGCTCACCATCAGGCAGGATTTTTGCCCCAGAAATGCTGCTGTTATGCAACTGCTCGCCTGCCAGCTCTGAGATTTGATGACCTCTGCGTTCATTTTGATGTGGCAAACATATGAAGAGAGTCTGTGCAGATGGCGGACGGGTGATGTCATGGTTGTGTCGGCTGAGGAGCATGTGATCCAACGTGAGGACAGTCAGGGATGGAGGCCACGTAGGGATGCAACTAGAGATTATCTTCATTATTGATTATTCTAGGGATTATTCTCGTGATTAATCGTTTGGTCTGAATGTCAGAAATGAGTGAAAGTTCCATAGTAGTTTCTCAAAGTCAATGGGAGGCCTTTTTAATATCTTGTTTTGTCGTTAAAAAAACCAAAGGTATTTAGTTTATTGTAAAATACAATTGTGAAAATCAGGAAATCTCCATATTTAGGGGCTGAAACCCAAATTTCCTGCTATTTTTGCAACAAAAACCACCAAAATAATCAATTATAAAAACAGGAGACGATTTTTCTGTCAACCGACTATTCAATTATCTCCCATCACCTCTAATGTCTCTGCACAAATTGATTGAATGTCTATTTATTTTTTTTTAATAGCAGACTCATTTTAAATTAAAAGACCAAACAATCACAAAAATGGCGGCTCATTATTTTATGACATCATGTGACAGCCTTTTGTTTCTTTAGCTGTCTGGTGTTATTTCCTCAGCTCAGCCTCCTCTCAGCTGTGCGCACGATTCTGACATTACGTAACTAAGACTTGGCACGTGTCGGCCCTCAGAGGCAGAAACAGTGCAGTGACTGAGCTGAACCCGGGGGGTGATGCTGTGCTCGCTCCTCACACACACTCTCCTCATACACACTCTCCTCTCATTATCACTCTGCAGCTCAGACCAGTGTTTTGTTATAAAGACTGCGTTTTTTGAAACAGGAAGTCAGAGCCTGTCCCTGTCTCCCTCGACAGCACTGGAGACAAATGTATCATCATTGGCTGTGAGCTAATGATGCTTGTTAAGTATGTTGTATAAAACATTTACACGTGCATACAGTAGCAGTACAATCTAATCTCTCCCTGTCATTGCTCACGCCCAGGCTTCTGGAGGTTACTTTAAAAAATGTATTACGTTACTAGTTTCCTGATATACAGGCCTAATGATTCTAAAGTATATTATCGGCTAGGCCTATATCATAGTAAGGTTTACAAATTAAAAGCACTACACAGTATTTTTGTCTAAAGTGTTTTTGGGAGTTTTCCTTTCCTGTAGCGTTTTTATTGCATGTACAGCACTTTGGCTTTAACAAAAATCTTTTTTAAATGTGCTGTATAAATAAAACTTGATTTGATATAGGTTTGTGCATGTAAATGGTCTGCTAAGACTAAAGACTAAATCCCACTTGTGCTTTTATTGGTTAGGGTTACACATTTGATATGATAGACTAAGGGTCAGGACATCTCTTAGAGGTCACAACAGAGCTAACCAGCTAGCCAATCAGAGCAGACTGGGCTGCAACAAACCTGGAATCATGTATTTGGGACTTTTATTTAATTTTTCTTGTTGTACCGAACCCGTACCGAACCGTGACCCCCAAACCGA